CTTCTTTCCCCTGGAATCCCAAACCTACCCAACCTAACTGAATCCCACCTCGTGAGAGTCACCCCATCACCATTACCCAACCCACCTACTTGTACCTATGGCTGTTTGTACCCCCTGTGTGGATGATTGACCCTCACCGCTTATCAACTGTGTCTTACCCCCCCCCATTGGAGACACTACAGTCTGTATGTATTACGTGTGCTGCCAACCCCAACATAACATCCCCCCCCCACTCTGTATGTTCCCCCCAATGATCGACAACTGACTCCTCAAATTGTTTGTACCGTTTATTTTTAAATGCTCTCTATGAGCTAAGATCTAGTCTTGTGGTCTACCCAAGGCTGTGATCAAGTGTCTTGATGTTTTTGATCTTCTGGCCTTCAGATGAAAACCTTGTCTGTGTTTCTGGGACCCAGGTAAACGGAGTCCCACCCGCCACTACATGCAAACCATTGGAAAAACAAGAAAATCCCATCACACCATGTTCCTGTCATCTAATAAACCTTCTGTTTTACTGGCTGGCTGAGAATCACGTCTGACTGCGGAGTTGGGGTGCAGGGCCCTCTGCGGGAAGCGCATGGTGGGGCAGGGGACGCTGAATGCTCTAAGGTCAGACCCAGGAAGGCCGAAGCCGTGTAAGCTTCTTGCCCTGGAGACAGTTTGCTCAGAGAGAAAAGGCTCCCCCAGAGTCCTGACTGGCTTTGTATGGAGTAGTTCCAGAGCATCGCCCGGTGACTCTGTGACATCACCCCACAATGCAACCTCTTCTCTGCCCTGTTTCAGCATCACCATAACATGCTAGTGACACACACTCTAGCACTCTGCCCTCTCCTGCTACAGAACACTCTGGGAACAGGAGCAGAACAGCACAAAGTCTAACAACTTCCCTTTGCTAAGGGAAAACCTGGATTTAGGTCTGGCATAGCAAACAAACAATTTTCCAATCCCTGACCTGCACTCAGAGATTGAGCCTACACCACACTAACCATCACAGACTTTCGGAATATTAACACACATTTGCCCGCCCCCTGAGGATTCCGTCTGAGTCACCCTCTCTAAGCCCTGGAGACCACTAAGCATGTATGCTACCAGAGTGCTGACAATGCTTATGGAAAGTGTCCACCCCCTGCACATTTATTGTTGCAACCTTCAACACTGAAATGAGGCATTCTTGGTCCTTCAAGGTTCACGTGCACCTCCCTTTATATCACAGTGACAGCTCTGCCAAATTGCTCTAACTAATCACTCCATCATCCAATTACAGCTACAGCTGGAGGGCATGCAGATAAATGTTGGTATTCCCATCTGTGAACACAATGCAAACAATGGCATGTTCTTAGTCCTTTCTCCTATCTATTGTAGATTCATAGATTTTTTTTTTAAGGCCAGAAGGGATGATTAGGTCATCTAGTCTGATCTCCTGTATCACACAGACCATTGAATTTCATCCAGTTACTGCTGTATTGCGCTGAATACCTTGTGTTTGACTAAATCAGAGGTCGGGACCCCTCAGGGAGTCACCAGTTTATTACCTGGGGAGTCGCGAGCTGTCAGCCTCCACCCCAAACCCCGCTTTGCCGCCACCATTTATAATGGTGTTAAATATATAAAAAAGCTTTTTTAATTTATGGGGGGGGGGTCACACTCAGAGCTTTGCTGTGTGAAAGGGGTCACCAGTACAACATTGAGAACCACTGGACTAAATCCTCTTCCAGAAGGGCATCCATTCTTGACTTGAAGACTCCAAGAGAAGGAGAATTCCCCATTTGCTTGGTAGTTTATTAACCGTTGCACCACCCTTACTGCACCATAGTCCATGGCTAATGCCAGCTCGGGGCGGGATAGAGTTAAGGTTGTGTTGCAGGTGTGGTATGAACTTTCACGCTTCATTCCCCGGTTTTCAGAGCTCTAAGTTTAGTCCCCATCCAGGTTCTGCAAGGGCCCACGGCAGCACTTGGCAACCTTACTTCTGTATTACAGAAGTTAATTAACTGTGCCTACACTTGAGATTTTGCTTTTAAAATTTTTTTGGTGTGATTCTTCACACCTGGGCAAAGCTCCCAAGAGGAACTCCTGGAGAAAGCAAGAAAAATGCTCCTCTCTCACAAAATGGGCAGAGCTTCTGGG